GGGGGGGGGGGGGGGGGGGGGGGGGGGGGGGGGGGGGGGGGGGAGGGCTGAAAGCAGAGGTCAGAGCAGACCAGACACAGAGACGGTTGAAGCTGAAGATGGGAATGAGGTTGGACAAGGGTTCAAATTGCAGATGGTCATGAGAACTGGACACTTTATTTTTTATTTTATTTTATTTTATTTTGAGACAGAGTCTCCCTCTGTCACCTAGGCTGGAGTGCAGTGGCATGATCTTGACTCGCTGCAACCTCCACCACCTGGGTTCAAGCGATTCCCCTGCCTCAACCTCCTGAGTAGCTGGGACTACAGGTGCCCACCACCATGCCCAGCTACTTTTCTTTGTATGTTTAGTAGAGACGGGGTTTCACCATTTGGCCAGATGGTCTTGATCTCTTGACCTCATAATTCGCCCACCTAGGCCTCCCAAAGTGCTGGGATTACAGGTGTAAGTGACTGCACCCGGTCGAGAATTGGAAATTTCAACTTCGGCTCTGGAGGCCGGGGGCAGCACACCGAGGGTCATCCAGTGGGGTGGTTTTGGGGGTGGGAGGAGGATGGAGGTGGGGTTGGCCTGGGATCGGGAGTGAGGATGGGGATTCAGAGGCAATCAGAAGGGGGATGGAGATAAGATTAGGAATGGAGGCAGGGGTGGTGGCTCACGCCTGAAATCCCATCACTTTGGGAGGTCAAGGTGGGAGGATCACTTGAGGGCAGGAGTTCCAGACCAGCCTGGGCAACATGGCAAGACTCCATCTCTACATAAAAATTTAAAAATCACTGGGCATGATGGTGTATGGCTGTAGTCCCAGCTATTCGGGAGGCTAAGGTGTGAGGATTGCTTGAGCCCAGGAGGTTGAGGCTGCTGTGAGCTATATGATTGCACTCCAGCCTGGGCAACAGTGGGAGATCCCATCTAAAAAAAAAAAAGAACAGAAAGAAACTCGGGAAAAAAGAAGAAAGAGAGAGAAAAATAAAACAGAGAAGAAGAAAAGGAAAGGAGAGAAAGAGGAAAGGAGGGAAGAAGGAAGGGAGGGAGGAAACGAGGGAGCAAGAGAGGGAGAAGGAAGAGAAGGAAGGGAGGAAGGGAAGAGGGGAGGAGGGGAGGAGGGAAGAAGGGAGGAATGGAGGAGGGAAGGAGGGAGGGAGAAGGAAGGGAAAGAAAGAAAGAAAAGAAAAAGGCCAGGCATGCTGGCTCACATCTGTAATCCCAGCACTTTGGGAGGCCGAGGCGGCGGATCACTTGAGGTTAGGAGTTCGAGACCAGCCTGGCCAACATGGTGAAATCCCATCTCTACTAAAAACACAAAAATTAGCTGGGTGTGGTGGCGGGTGCCTATAATCCCAGCTATTCGGACAACTGAGACAAGAGAATTGCTTGAACCTAGGAGGCGGAGGTTACAGTGAGCTGAGGTTGTGCTATTGTACTCCTGCCTTGGCAACAAGAGCAAAACTCCATCTGAAAAAAAAGAAAAGTCATGCAGGGGCAGGAATGGGAGAGATGAGGGTGAGACGAGGTGGGGTCATTCGGGAAGGGATGCGCAGGTCCATTTGGGTGATCCCAACTGCTGGCCTGGCCACCCTGTGTTCTCCCACCCCGGTGCCCCCCACCTCCCGAAGATCTGGGATGTGGTGGAGAAGGCAGACATCGGCTGCACCCCGGGCAGTGGGAAGGACTACGACGGTGTCTTCCTGGATGCAGGGCTGGCGTTCAAGAGCAGCACTGGCCAGCAGACCTCCCAGAGGTCAGGTGAGGACGCCCCCTGAGCCAGTGCAGGGACAGCCAGCACCTCCACCTCCCAGATGCTGGGAGCAGAGCTCTGGAATCCGGGGCTCTGGGTTCAAGCCCCACCTCCGCCACCACCTAGCAAATCCCTTCTCTCTGAGCCTCAGTTTGCTCACCCATCAAATGGGAGCAGGAGCACCCCCACCTCACACGATGGCGAGGGGTGAGGGGAGGACCCTTAGTAGGTACCTCATTCGTTGTCTTCTCGGTCCACCTGCCCCGCAGAACTTCAGTGCCCAAAGCCAGCCGCCCGCCGACGCCGGTCTGTGCAGCTCATGGAGAAGAGGATGGACAAAGGTGGGGGGCCCTTCCCACCCTACCCTGCCCCTGAGCCCCACCCCAGGAGACCCCAGCCTGGCCGTGCAGGAGCCGGAGAGGGAGGAGGGGAAGGCCGGCATGGGTGGGGGATGGGGGAGGGAGTGGAAGTCCTCGCTGGGGTCCATCCCGCGGCCCCCCTGCCCACTGCCCCGCTGAGTGTCTGGCCCGGGGATGTGCTCCCGCAGCCGGCCAGTACTCCAAGCAGCTGCGCAAGTGCTGTGAGGACGGCATGCGGGAGAACCCCATGAGGTTCTCGTGCCAGCGCCGAACCCGCTTCATCACCCTGGGCGAGGCGTGCGTCAAGGCCTTCCTGGACTGCTGCAACTACATCACCGAGCTGCGGCGGCAGTACGAGCGCGCCAGCCACCTGGGCCTGGCCAGGAGTAGGTCCCACAGGCTGGGGGCACGGGCAGGGAGCAGCCTGAGGCTCCTGTCTGAGGAGGGAGGAGGCCTTGTCTTGGGGCTGGGGGGGACGGGGGCGGGACTGGAGAAGGTCCCTGTCTGATGCGGGAGGAGGTCCCTGTCTGAGGGTGGAGGAGTAGGTCCCGGTCTGAGCAGGGAGGATGTCCCTGTCTGAGGAGGGAGGAGGATTCTGTCTGAGAGAGGAGGATGTCCCTGTCTGAGGAGGGAGGAGGATTCTATCTGAGAGAAGAGGATGTCCCTGTCTGAGGAGGGAGGAGGATTCTGTCTGAGAGAGGAGGATTCTGTCTGAGGGAGGAAGATGTCCCTGTCTGAGGAGGGAGGAAGATTCTGTCTGAGAGAGGAGGATTCTGTCTGAGGGAGGAAGATGTCCCTGTCTGAGGAGGGAGGAGGATTCTGTCTGAGGAAGGAGAATATCCCTGTCTGAGGAGGGAGGAGACCTGTGTTTGAGGAAGGAGGAGGTCCCTGTCTGAGTGGGAGGAGGCTTCTGTCTGAGGAAGGAGAAGGTCCCTGTCTGAAGAAGGAGGAGACCTCTGTCTGAAGGAGAAGGCCCCTGTCTGAATGGGGAGGATCTCATGTCTTCACTTCTTAAGTGAAGCAAAGAAAAATTTATCTTATAATAAGAGAAAATTGACTGGGCACAGTGGCTCATACCTGTAATCCCAGCACTTTGGGAGGCCAAGGCAGGCAGATCACTTGAGGCCAGGAGTTTGAGACCAGCCTGGTCAACATGGTGAAACCCCATCTCTACTAAAAATACAAAAATTAGCTAGGCGAGGTGGCAGGTGCCTGTAATCCCAGTTACTCGGGAGGCTGAGGTGGGAGAATCACTTGAACCTGGGAGGCGGAGGTTGCAGTGAGCTGAGATTGTGCCACTGCACTCCAGCCTGGGCAACAGAGCCAGACTGTGTCTCAAAAACAAAACAAAAAAAAAGGAAAGAGGGAAGGGAAGAAGGGAGGGAAGGAAGGAAAGAGGAAGGAAGGAAGGAGGAAGGAAGGAAAAGAACGGAAGAGAGAAAGAAAACTGGGTGGGCAAGGTGGCTTATACCCTTAATCCCTGCCCTTTGAGAGGCCGAGGAGGGCAGATTGCTTGAGTCCAGGAGTTCGAGACCAGACTGGGCAACATGGTAAAACCCCGTATCTACAAAAATAAAATAAAATAAAATAATTAGCCAGGTGTGGTGGTGCACACCTGTAGTCCCAGCTACGTGGGAGGCTGAGGTGGGAGGATTGTTTGAGCCCAGGAGACGGAGGCTTCAGTGAGCCAAGATATCACTGCACTCCGGCCTGGGAGACAGAGCAAGAACCTGTGCCAAAAAAAAAAAAAAAAAAAAAAGAGGAGAGAAAAGAAAAAAAAAGACAATTGAAGCAAATTCAGAATGATCTCCTTCACAAAGAGGAAATGGTGTGCGGGGCATTGGGAAAATTAGACAGAAGTCTGGTTTACTGAAATATGGTTTACATCCACATGGGGGTGAGTTTTATTTTTCCTCAGCATTGGGTAATTCCTTTAGTCCATTGGGGGTCAGAAAAAAAAAATGGCCAAACGTTACTATCCCAAGGCACTTGGATTGATTATTTCAGAGTATGAGTATATTTAGGTATCTCTTTAGGAATTCCACCCACTTTGGGCTGGGCACAGTGGCTCACGCCTGTGATCCCAGCACTTTGGGAGGCTGAGGCAGCAGAATTGCTTGAGATCGGGAATTCAAGACCAACCTGGGCAATGCAATGAGACAAAAAACCTTTTTTTTTTTTTTTTT